AGAGACGGGGTTTCACCATGTTGACCAGGATGGTCTCGATCTCTTGACCTCGTGATCCACCCACCTTGGCCTCCCAAAGTGCTGGGATTACAGGCGTGAGCCACCGCGCCCGGCTAGTTTTTGTATTTCTTAGTAGAGACGGTGTTTCGCCGTGTTGGCCAAGATGGTCTCGATCTCTTGACCTCGTGATCCACCGGCCTTAGCCTCCAGAAGTGCTGGGATTACAAGCGTCAGCCACCATGCCCAGTGCTGAGTGACATTTTCTAACACATTTTCCACTTCTCATCCTGGTGTGAACAACAAGATGACTGGTATATGGTATGCTATCAGTCATAATTATGATTATTACGTTGAGTTTTCAGCCACAAAAAATAAAATGACCATTTTTTTTTTTTTTGACAATCACATCTTTAACCACGGCCATTTTAAGTTTTGTCCTCTTCCTTCTTGGGGAGTGGGACAGCCTCAGTTAGCGATCTGCAGTGATCCAAGATGTCTACTGAAGCAGGGCTGCATTTTTTTTTTAATGAAAAATATAGTCTGGGTGTGGTGGCTCACGCTTGTAATCCCAGCACTTTGGGAGGCCAAGGCAAGCAGATCACAAGGTCAGGAGTTCGAGACCAGCCTGACCAACATGGTGAAACCTCATCTATGTAAAAAACTGACAGAGTTGAAAGGCAGAGGATCTAGCGCTTCAAAAATCAAGAATCCCACTTTTATATGGAATCTTGAGTCCCCCACAAGATGGAAATACCACAGGATGGGGCTGTGCTTCCACAGTGCACCTCACTGCATGGACATTCCCTGAGGTTGGTGGGAGACCTAGCACCAATTAGCCCACTCTGTGATCAGCCCATCTCCCACAGGATTCTTATCCCTTGGTGATGAGTGTTTCTATAAGTCTCCAAGAGTTCAAACAATGGTTTTCTTATTTAAACATGCAAAGGAATTAGCAGACCCTGCAGTAATAACCACTCACTGACAACTGCTATCACCTACCACCAAAACTGCAGCCCTTGCCAGTAACTTGCCAGCCATTACTCACCCAAAGATCATGTTCTTTCATAGAACCCCCCCAAGCCAAAACATCAGAGAACTCAATGTAAAAGAGATCAGAGCTTTAGACTTAAAATAAACTGCCTGCTTCTCTAGGACTCCATGAGGAAGACAGAAGACTCCATAAAAGGTATATGTGACACTTCTTCTGTGTTCCTCAAAGGGTCTCAGGGACATTAGAAGACTCTTTTGAATTTCTTTATGTGGTATCAAAGATAGCAAAAGGAAGAAAGAGTAGAAGAAAATGGGAGAACAACTCTTAAACCAATTTGGAGAGATTTTAAGTTTTTCAGAAGGCAAATGAAATTTTACATTATACTAACAAGAAAAGAAGGAAACAGAGGGACCAAACATATTTAAAAAGGAGTTTCAGTCAACTAAAAAAAAAAAATTCTGGCAGGGTACATTGGCTCACGCCTGTAATTCCAGCACTTCGGGAGGCCAAGGCAGGCACATCATGAGGTCAGGAGATTGAGATCATCCTCACTAACACGGCGAAACCCTGTCTCTGCTAAAAATACAAAAAATTAGCTGGGCGTGGTGGCAGGTGCCTATAGTCCCAGCTACTCAGGAGGCTGAGGCAGGAGAATCGCTTGAACACGGGAGACGGAGGTTGCAGTGAGCTTAGATCGTGCCACTACACCCCAGCCTGGGCAACAGAGCTAAACTCCATCTCAAAAAAAAATTCCGAGAAACAGGATCCAAATGAGAAAAAGTAGAAAGGTTATTTTTTCTTAAAAAAAAAAAAAA